AATCAAAGCATACTTCAGACTTATGTAATATATTCTAAACTGGGCTAAAAGTCTAATTTAATTCATGGCATCACAGTCTGATGCACTGTAATGCTAACATTTTTACCAAATGTAACACGACTGCTAATGTATTATGTATTTCCAGTAGGCGGTGCTTTATCACAACAAAATGTGACTAAGCAGACGGGCTGTTTGGGAAGTCATGCATCTAATCCCTTCCCGAACTTCATATAATGATTCATAACAGATATATCTGGTTAATGCCATTGGTAATTACTAATGATACTTGGATTCAATCATTTGACAGCAAACATCTTCACTACTCAAATTACATAACAAAAGAAGACAATGTTAAAGTGTGTGATTGTCAGTTTAGCCATGAAAACGTTGATTTGAACATCTGAGTGATTCCTGGAATGCACAGGAATGAAAAATCAAACTAACTTGTTACTGTAGCTATTTGATGACTACTGCCATCAATCACTTGCTAAACTAGTTTACCAATAATCTGTGCAAAAAAAATGTGCTAATTTTCTGTGATGATCCTTGTTGACCGATTTCATTTTTACTCTACTTCTGGTTACATGTGACTGAGTCATAAAGCACTATTAGAATACTACTGGAACTACGACTGGAAAGAACTGTAATAATTTCTAACCCAGATAGCACACGTACATCTTCAAGATGTCTGTTAAAGATCGCTTAATCTGGAAAGCATCTGCTGTGTACAAACATCTGATAGACGTCTCTAAGATGTCAGTTTTACATACATTCGAAATCATAAACATCTTAAAGACATTTTCTAAATGTCTATTTGACATCTGATAGGAAACGTCCTATAGACGTATTACAGATGAGCAAACACAAATACGTCTTGCAGATGTAAATGCTCGGTGATGTGAGTGTGCTATCAAGGTAATAGTTTAATCAAGGGTTTGAGCGTCAGGAGGCATTAACATTTACATAGCTGGTTCTCTGGTCATTTTCAACTTTCTCTTGCAATTAAGATTTGGTTCTCAGTACGCTATCACAAATTCACAAATTTGTATATCACAAATTCACCAAAATGAACCACATCGAATATTTTTCCCTGTAAGAGGAAAAAAAATCAGGTCTAGTATATTATACATCTAAAAATCAGATACATAAATTATGAGCTCTGTACATTTTAGGGGCATATTAAAAAGCAATGTGTTCACAAACAGTCACATTAAGAAAATCACACAGGTACAGCGCACATGTATAGGCTACACAGTCTATATGAATGCACAAAAGCTCACGCATGCACACATTTGACACTGTTGAACGGAAACTAACAAATTGCATGATGGGAGATAAAAGAATCTGCTGTGGAAGATAATATCAAAGGAGAAAAATAGAGAACATGCCTTTCACTTTCTCACTAGGGCAACTGCTACTGTCGTGTGTCAGGGACTAATTAACTCAGATTCACATAACTGCGCTATGATTAAAAAAAGCCCAATGCCCTTAGCATAACGGTCAAAGCACGTCTAAATGAGCGTACGCGCACGCCTTTCTTGTTAGGGGTTCGAGCACGAAGTGCTGAAACCCTATTGTAATTGTTAGGATTTTTATTATTATTATTATTATTATTATTATTATTTTTATTATTATTATTCTTCCCTAAAACTGATCGTGCAGCCTAAACTGTAAGGCCTAGAGAGCTGAAACTTGGTCAAAAGGTAGTAGTCATGCTCGCTACTCAGGCGCAAAGAGCCGGTCCAATCGGCCAATAGGTGGCGCTACAGCGATCAAAAACGCAAAAGCCCTCATAACTCCTACACCGTTTGTCGTAGACTCAAGTGTCTTATATCTTTGGATTCCTTGGCTTAATCAAAACAAAATGACTATCTCCGATTCCATTTCCGTCTATAAAAATGTTCCGCCATTTTGAATTTTGTCAGAAACCTACTTTTGCGAACTAGTCCTAGGTTTTTCACCCTATCGGAACCAAACCAGTGCAGAAATGTTCTTTGGACACTGAATATCAATAATTATAAAAAAAAAAGTTGAAATTTCGATTTTTGCGCGAAACAGTATGCCAAAAAGCGTCTATGCTAACGTTAGCCAAATGTTAATTGTAGCCCGATCAGAACCAAACCAGTGCAGAAATACTCTATGGACAGTGTTTAGGAATAATTATCAAAAAAAGGTTGAGCTTTCAACTCACGGTTGCAAAGGGGCGCCAAAACATTTGTAAGTGGCGGGGCCAATTTGACTAAAATGGCTATAACTTTTGAACGGAATGAGATATCTTCACCAAACTTGGTACATATGTGTAGGAGCTTAATCTTTGGTCAAATAAAAAAAAATTGCGCAGCTCTACCACTTGGTGGCGCTATAAGACAGAAGAAAAAAAACAGAAAAACAGCTATGACTACGCAACCGTTGGTCCGATCGACTTGAAAATTGGTATGCAGTGTCTTTGTCCAAAGTGGCACAAGTGTCTATGAGGAGATCGACTTGAAAATTGGTATGCAGTGTCTTTGTCCAAAGTGGCATAAGTGTCTATGAGGACATTCGCGTATCTAAAAAAACATGGCCGCCATTGGCCAAACAATTTTAAGCACCTATTTGACAGGGTTAATGGAGGTCGATCGGAATGAAACTCGGTGGGCATGTTCGACACATAGCCCTAAAGGTCTGTAAGAGTGTTGAAAGAAATCGGCCAGTGGGGGCCGAAATTGCATTTTTCAAGTGTGTAAACGATTGTATATTGCACGATTTTTCACACATCAACACAATATGCATATCGTTTGATAGATCTTCTCATAATGAGTAACTTTGCTTCTAGAAACATTGCTGTCAATCAAATCGTTCATTAAATATTCACAAATATGTTAAAAACCTACTTTTGCGAACTAGTCCTAGGTTTTTTGCTCAATCTCGATCAAACCACTGCAGCACTTTTGCAAACTAGTCCTAGGTTTTTCGCCCGATCGGAACCAAACCACTGCAGTAATATTCTCTGGACTCTCTAGATCAATAATTATCAAAAAAAATTTGAATTTTTTCGTCCTTTGGTTAGCTATAATGGGCTCATTTTTAAAGGGGCGTGGTCAAATATACTCAAAAGCCTATAAAACCTAAACGAAAACTCAAACCTTTACGAAACCTGGTGACAACATGTGTCAGATGACTCTTAACAAGCATGCAAACTTTCATGGAGATCGAACCGTAGGTGGCGCTATAACAGTTGAAAAGGCATCAAAAACACAAGATTTCTATGGTAAATGGCCTCAAATTGCTAAAAAAATTCTCATATATTTACACGAAAACTAGATCTTCATATCATATGATAGATCTCCTCATTTTGAACAACTTTGCCTCTAGAACCAATGCTGTCAATCAAACTGGTCATTAAATATTCAAGATTATTTAAAAAACCTACTTTTGCGAACTAGTCCTAGGTTTTTTGCCCGATCGGAACCAAACCACTGCAGAAATATTCTCTGGAGAAAGCCCACAATGTCTCTCAAAACTGTGTAAAATTATGCATAATTTCACTCTAAACAAGCATGCAAAATATAAGAGAAATTGGGCAAAAAATAACATTATAATAGTTATAAAGGTTAAACACAGTGTTGTATGAGAAATTGCATCTATAACCACTAGATGGCAGCGGAAGACCACTAATGGACTCATTAAATGCACTGAAACAGTACTGTTCATAGGTTAGCTTAAGGATTCATCCTAAAACATTATAAAATCACTGTTATAACATTTAAAATCACATTGAGTCAAAGTTTATCATTTTGTTCATACAGACATATCAGTTTTTACAATTATGCCAGATTATGATTACAGTGAAACCTGAAAATGACATATACACTCTTAAAAAGAGAAGACTTGTAATAAGTTTTGTGTCACCTATCATTTATTTCAAATATCTATATCTAAAACAAAATGTGTGTGCATGTATGTCTGTATATGTGTGTGTGTCTCTGTGTCTGTATGTTTAAGTATGCTTATTGAGTATTAATAAACTAGTTTAATCATTTCATTTCAGTGTGTGTGTGTGTGTGAGCATATTCTCCATTTTGGATGTGTTTTACTGTCAGCCATACATCCAGGTTGGCGTAGACCCTAAAATATACCACCTTCAATGCCTTTATGTGCTTGAACCCCGGTCATTGCTGCTTGTCGCTATATTAATCTATTTGTTTCTTGTATCTGCAGTAGCAGTCGCGTGGCCAAAATGAATGTGACACCTCAAAACGGAAGGACAGTTCACATTTCGGCAAGAGATATGGCTTTAATAACCCACTCTTGCTTGATTTATATCTCCAGTCACAACCGTATTGTATCACGGCGATAGAACTGCCTTAATGTTTTAATCATGAACTCTTCGTAACGTAACAAACTTTCACCCACTGAAACCAATTTGGCTCTTCAACCACGAGCCCAAAAGAAGAGCTTCTTACTGACAGCTCCGCACTATCGCTCATGACGGTAAATTCAACAGCCTGAAGAAAACTTTCGCCCAGGAGCGTGCGCTCGTTTTCCGCTGAGCGCTCAATGTTGTCAGAATTAACTTCAAATGCGAACGGGTCAAACGCGCAGAAATATGGAGCTGCATTCGCTGGACTGTAATGGAGTTGGAAATGTGAGCTGGACCGTCCGTGAGACTTGACAGGCGTGCTGGAGGGGGGCTGGACTCTCTGCCTGTTGATCCGATAATAAAAAAAATCAGGGTGCAAGAGCGTGGGGGCTTGCGAAACACCGGTGGCAAACGCGCACTGTCTGAACTGAACAGGAACATTTTCGGTAAGATTCTATTAGACAAGTTATGTGTTCTGAGATCTCTAAGAGCAACGTAAACAGCTTTAATTCAGCGCGAAAAGTCCAGCCCCAGTGAAGTCTCAACATGATCAACCGTGGACATTTGTTTTGTAAATAACTATGCTGTTAAAACAACATTTTACATCGACAAACAACATTTAGGACACACTGAAAGCGCACAGATGCATGAAACATACCTCGGCAGGTCTTCTAAATCCGCTGTCGTTTCGCATAAAAGTACAGCAAAGCTCCAGCAAAGCGCCTACGACCCAGAAAGGCAACCTTTCTGCCCCGTCTATCTCAACCAGCAGTGTGTTACGCAGTTTTTCATGTGCTTCTCCCCCCCCTCTCTCTCTCTCTCTCTCTCTCTCTCTCTCTCGGCGATGTCCGATTCGTAAGCGAATCGTTCGTTTGAGTCGAATCGCATTAATGAATCGTCTGAACCGTTTCACCAAATCCCTCTGAACGATTCTTTCACGAATCTGACTTTGAACGTGTCCGAGCAGTTCTGGAGTCAACAAATCACTGAACTGCGAAGCTTTCGGACATGTCCGATTCGTAATGAACCGAGAATCGATGGTAGCAAGAGCATTGGGGGCGAAAAGTAGCCTAGATTGATTTTAAAAGCGGACAGTAGAAATGTTACAAACAAATCGGCATGATATTTTAACCAACACACATACAAAAAATATGGTTTTATCAAAACGTAAAAACCTTTTTTTTGTCAAGAGACAATAGCATTT